GCAAGAGAGCTTGGTTTAACTTAGCTGGCCCTTGCAAGAATGGAAAGATCCCTGCCTTTCCTGTTTCCGAAGATGGCCTCACTCTACCTACCCAGCGCACACTGCCTGCCAGCACACACCAGAGGCTTCAGAGGAATGACCGAGCTTTCTTTGGTGCGGGAGTGTTGACTGGTGCAAACAGGTATGGTTGGGTAGGTCATGAGATGCTTGGTTGTCTTTGTTCAGTCTCATAGCCCTCATTTCCCTAGAAGCCTGAAAAATCTATCCACACCACTCGTGGTCTGCGGGCTCTGCCTCCCGTCTCCAATGGTGCTCAATCTTTGGAGGCCATAAGCATCAACTGGGGTGACTGTCAAAGATGCAGATACCTGGGACCTGAGCCCAGTTGGGATGTGGAGGCAGGTGGTCCGTGGACCCACGGGGAGAAGTCCTCCTCCTGTGCTTGGCCTTGGGCCATTCAGCGTGCCAACTCCAAGCTCCCCACCTTTCAGAGTCATAAATTTCTGCTCCTCCCTGGACTGGGATGCTTAAACTCCCCTCAGGGCTAGGTTCATGCTTTTTGCTTCTGGCATATTCCTACTTTAAGAGCCACTTATTTGCCCTGCCTGGTCAGGTTCCTCTTTTTCAGTTTCTCTGACTCCTTCTCAATGTTTCCTCCTCAAATCCCTCACCTAGCTCCTTATAATTCTGCCCTTTCTGCTGCTTCCTCTCTCCACTTAACCTTCTGGAAATAATTCACCTTGGTAATAGTCCCTTTTATACAGACCTCAGAACTGACTGAAACATATTTACATTTAAAGGGAAACTTCTCTTTTCTCTCATTAACATATTTTAAATACCAAGACTCCATCTTTATTTGACTCCAGATCTATGGGCATGGAAGGAGCCCTGACAAACTTAACCTGCCTCAAAATTGTTGCTGTGGCCAAATCACCATCTAAGGGGGGGGGGGGCGCCCTCCACCTGCTTTCGCCTTGGGAGCACCCAAAGAGATCTCACTGTTCCCAGTCACCATTACAATGAAAGGTCCCTTTCATTGTAAATTTAGCAGTTTAATAGGGCCTACGTTCCTTATTTTAAATGAAAAAGAAAATACTTTGAAGATTTATATTTACTAAGCGAGTGGAAAAAGTGCTTAAAATACATCATAATCACAGGAACAAAGAAATCATTTTTTAGGTATTAAATTGAAGTTTTAGATTCAAATCACTTTTTATTCATTCAGATTCTTTTGGTAAGGTCTCAAAGCTTTAAAGGAAAGGACAGCTTGCTGAATTAAGGATTGAACTGTTTAAAACTTAATGAGGCAGGTCATGAATGACATCTAAATCATTTAATAGTTTGGTTTTTAATGTATCTTCTATAAATGTGGTGTTGAGTAATACTCCGCTTTTTTTACTCAAGAGCTAAGCTGATAGGAGGAAAAAACCCAATGGAGCTAATCTCCACTCCAGAGAAAACAGTCATAGCTTCCAGAGCAGTGCGGTATGACCGCCACCTAGTGGCAGCATATCCTCACCACAGAAGCCCTGCCTCGTGGAAGCAGAGGAGGGCTACCACAGGTGCCCAGACTGCAAGGCTAATTTACAAAGGAAAACCACCACGTGACTACAGTCGAGTGGTATTTGCCATCATCTCAACACTTAGAGCTTCTAGGGATACTTTAAGAAATATGTATGTATTGATACAGTTTCAAAAGAAGTTTTCTAGGGACATGTAAATCAGGGTCTCCACTCCCAGAAATTTATCTTTATTTCACTGAGGCTCCAAATAGACTATATATATATATATATATGGTTCAGATTTCCTCTCGGTTTCATTCTAGCCCAGGAAACACTTAGTGATTTAAGAAAAAAAAAAAAAAAAGCAACAACAATAAGGTTTGCTGATGTTTGTAGCATTGGAATCAGTTAAGGAAAGAATGTGGACTAAGTCAGCTTCACTTGGACCTGCTGTGGGACCTTAGGTGAGTATTTTATTACTTGTCAACCCATTTGCCCCACTTGTTAAGCAGAGGAGCTGAAATAGATTCTAAGATGCTCTCCATGAAAAGTTCCAAGACTTCTTTTTCTTAATTTCCACCCTACGGTGGACCAAAACATTTGGAAACTTCAGCTAGGCTGCTCTGAGGGCGCTGCACCGGCTCCCACCCTCCCAACCCCCGCACACACATTACTGTGGGTGATTTCAAAGCTGACCCATTTTCATAACCTGATTCTATCCCTTCTGGGAAATGAAGCATCACAGAAATATCTCAACTGGCCAGTTGGTCAAATCATCTTTGCTCCTGGTCATTTCTATCTATGGGCTTCTCAAATGAAGTTGGCTAAGAAGACAAAAGGCTTTGAGTAAAGCCCACAAGATTCAAAAGTGTGTAACCTGACATAGTTTCATTTTGTTGAGTGAGCAGCTACTTTTGCAAACTTAAAAACAAATGCTGGTGTGTTCAAGGTTTCATTTCAGTCCCTGCTTTCAGAATTCAGAAATCAGTGCCAAGACGATTAGGCATGACCTTTCCATACAGATGGTGCCTCCCTTCGCCAGTGCAAACAGCACCTGTCACACCAGCCCTGAAATGCAGATGTTTGCATATTTGTAAGACTAGTGTCTAAAAATGGTAAAAGGAGCACCAGAGTCAAGGCTTTGCAGAAGGGAGCCTCATATCACATAATCTGTTCAAATGACTTGATAAGAAAGCCTCGCTACAGTTCTAGGAAATTAGATGACATAAAATGAAGCCCTCCCCTTAAACCACAGGCACGTGTGCTCTCTTAAAATTATTGGATTCACGTACAAACCCTGCTGCGTCTTGAAGGCATGCTGATTCACTGTGAGAAGAGGTGTTTGGGAAATGTACTTAATCGCCAGGCTTCAATACAAAGAAGAATGCATTCTCAGCATGCACTGGGTAACTTCCGCAGTCCTGCATCATTGTTTCCCCAGTAATATCTCACAGTTAAAAGGGATCTTAAAAGTTACTTCCTCCAAATATAAGAATTCTTCACTAGTAGCTACAAGGCAGGGGTAAGGAAGGTTTGGTAGTGATCCAACCCCGAGAGTGGCCAAGAAGATTGAGAAACAAGAAGAAATCCATCTGTTTTTCTCAGCAGTGACCCTCGAATCCAAACAATGTCAATGCTAAGATGCTGATCCAGGCAGGGGCAGACCACCTTCACTCCCCCACCCTGCCCGCCCCGCTGACTCCCAGGCTTTCTACACTCTCTGGCCTCTGACTTAATATTACCTAAGACTGTACTCCTTTCTTTTTTTTCCAAAAGATTTTCTACTTTATATCTCCTAATTCTCAAAGTAATATTTTATAACTTAGAAGATATAAAAACAACATAAACAAGCATTTAAAAATGTGTCCATAATTCCCCTATCCAGAGATGCTTCCAGCCAATGAAAGGCCTATTTCCTCCATGTCCTCCTTCCTATCAATTTTTCTTTATGTGATTGAGGTCATTTGTATATCTATAGTAAAGACCCTTAAAAAAAAAAAAAGCACATTTTTCAAGGCTGCCTAATAATCCACTCTATTGGGCTGTGCTAAACCTCCTAGAACAGAGGCCCAGAGATCCCCTTCATGTACTGGATAGTGGAAGGGTCTCAGGTATCTGGGAACAGGGTTGGCCAAGATGTCTGGGGACATTCGGGGGTGCAGGGCAGTGGCTATTTAGAAACTTGGATGGAAGTATTTCAGTCTTTTAACAACCAACATTGAGTGTTTGACAAACAGGAAGGGAGTGTAAGGGAACTGGAAGGACTGGCCAGGGACAGAGGGGAAGCATTTTATTATGGTAGCTAAGGAAACTTCTTTTGAGAAGGTGACCTTTGAACAAAACACCTGAGTGAAGTGAAAGAGGAAACCACATGAGATCTAGAGGGAGAGAAAACCAGGAAAAAGGAAAAGCAATTATAAACCCCTGAGGCAAAAATGAACCAAATTCAAGAAAGAGCAAGGAGGATGGCAAAGCTAGGTTGAAGAGCACGAGGAGAATGCCAAACGTGTATGTCGAGGAGATACCCTATCCCTGTTTCAATAACACAGCAGCTGAAAATACTGGTAGGAATAGAGATGAAGTCCACAGCACCCATGAACTTGATCCTTGCCCTTGGGACTTGGCTCGACCGTGGATTACAGTGGATGTGGGCACATGTATGGCCCTCGAGAAGTTCTGAAAGAATGGAGCTTTCCTGGTAGACGTACCATAGTGTGATTCCGAGGGAGCTTCAGTGCAAGACAAGGATTTCCCACCGCTGCAGGGAACCCTTGATTCTCCACCTTCTCTGATGCGTTTTGTGAAGTGTCCTGCTATATTACTTCTGTACAACTTTCAAACACTGGTAGATTATATGAGGGAATGAAACCACACCACTTCTTTTGCTTAGCAAAAGAAACCAATATTTCACATTAGATAAAGAAGGCTGAGAACGGAGTTCAAGATTGACTATTGAAAATGAAAAGTAGGAAAGCAATAGAGAAAAGGGGAAATAAGAAAGAGGCAAGAGGAAGGGTTGGGAAGACCCGAGTAAATTTTACACCCTGAAGTTAGTGAGTTATAGCCATATCCAGACAGCCTATGCAACAAAGAACTTAGGACTGTTATAGACAAGGGAAGAAAATAAAACAGGGTCTCAGTTAATTCAAGACAACCCAATTACTTTAGCCCTTGATACTGGATTAAACGATCACATAATTGTGGCAGAGAACACACAGGTGGTGGTTTCAAGCAAAACTAAATTGGCATATTTTTAAAAGCAATATGGCAGCTCTGAGCCTGCTACAGAATTAAGGGAGAGCTGGCAGCTCTTCCGTTGGAGAGCTGGCCTGCAGCTGAAAAACGTGGTCAGTTCTTTCTTTCTCTGCTGTTTCTGTGCTCTAATTTAATATGAAATGGTGATTTTTTTTCTTTTCTTTTTCATGAGTTGGAAGAGCAGACAGTAGGAAACAGAGTAAGACTCCCTCAATCCCAAGCTATGGTTACCCCAGTCCATGGTTTCCCTTACAAAATGTATCCTTTATTTCTCACCAACATAAATGGTGAAGGGGAGATCATGTTTATTTAATAACACACTTAACTAAGGAAGCTGAAACACTGTTCCTTCTGTGAGGAGAATGAGTAGAATTGCCATTGCTAGGTAACCAGGTAAAAGCAGACGTCATGATATTTAAGCTTTCTGTAGAGAGAAAAAAAAAAAACAAAACAGAATAAGATCAAAAAGGATCTTTAACTATATAGTCATTTTTTTAAAGTTCTCCTTAGAGGAGTCTCAAGTGTTAGAAGCCTATTCTTCTAATAAAGAAATTCAAATCTAGACACAATACTTCTTCCAAATTCTCTTGATAAGACAATTAATGGTTTGGATATGATAGTCATTCAAATAAAGGCCCAAGATTTCTTGAACAAAGAAAAATTTTCCAACAAAGCATAAGATATACCAGAATTGTTAAAACTGCTTGAATGTTTGTATCCATTTCTATGTTCAAAACCCATATGAAAGAATTCAGTGCTAGGATGGTACCACCAAAAAGAATATTGAAATAAGGGGCACCTGGGTGGCTGAGTCCTCAAGCATCTGCCTTTGGCTCAGGTCATGATCCCAGCATCCTGGGATAGAGCCCCGCATTGGGCTTCTGCTCAACTAGGGAGTCTGCTTCCCCCTCTCCCACTTACCCTGCTTGTGCTCTCTCTCTCTCTGTCAAATAAATAAATAAAATCTTTAAAAAAAGAATATTGAAATAAGTCAAAAGTAAGTTATGTGGTATTAAATATATATATATATATACATATATATATCATATTTGGAAGCAAAAGTTGCAGTTTCTTTAATAACATGTATGTATATGTGTGTGTGTGTGCATACACACATATGTATATCCAAAAATATATTTATATCCAAACAATCTAATGTAAAATATATTACCAAATATTTTTATGTATACCCATCATTTTGTTGAAACCATCTTTTAACACTGCGGCAACTGGTACCACTCCAATACTGAACGTGTAGTTAGTGGAGCGGGAGGTAGTAGGGAAGGGAGGGAGCCTAGGGAAAATGGAATAAGTGACAGAACGAATAACCTCAAAGGAGAGGGTCACAGACAGGAAAGCAAAATGAGAAAAGGAGAGGGCAGGAAGACTGAAAATGGGAAGAGGGTGATCTTAGCCAGTTTTGCTTCTTTCCTGAAAAAAACAAGGAGGAGAGGTTAAGTAAAAGAAAAACCAGAATTTGCTAAAATGGGAACAAAATAGATATTGAAACACTGAACAAAACGCTCTAGAAAGAGAACAGGAAATCTCTGCCCAGCTGCTCCTATTTCTGCCGCGTATACCAGCCCCTCCCGGGCCGGGGCTGACATCTGTTTGCCAGTGGACCTTGTGCTCCTCTCCGTACAAGCTGTAGCAAAAAGAATTTTAAATGTTTCTGTACAATCGGTTACGTGTTATCAGGGCTAGAATTTCTCCCACGCAATCAGAGTAGCCCGGTCTCATAAGTCACTGACCAACAGAGGGGCTGGGAAGAACCTGAAGGAAGGTGAAATGGTACCAGGTACAGAACCCCTCCTTTAGGAACAGCTCCTCTGTCTCGGTGCTCTGTAAGACAGTCTCCTCAGACATTAACGGGCATGGGCGTCACCTTGGGGATCTTGTTTCAATGTGGGTGCTGGTTCCAATGGGCTGGGGCAGAAATTGTGCATTGTAACAAGCCCTCGGCCATGCCAGTGCTGTTGGTCTTCAGTTCCAGGGCAGGCTGGTGATCCCTGTGTGAGTGAGGGTGTGTGTGTGTGTGTGTGTGTGAGAGAGAGAGAGAGAGAGAGAGAGAGAAGGGAAAGAATCCAGAAGCACATTCTTTCCGGCAAGAAGAGATAGAGAGAAGGCGGGAAGCTGGGCAGGTTCCTTATTCATTCATTGCTGCCCTTTGCCCGACCCCCCAGCCTTCAGAGAGACAGCTGTTTTCTGTGAGCACTTGCAGGTGGGTGGGCTTTCTCGTCTAGCCACCCCCCAGGAAGCAGTGCCCATGGTGAGTCAGCCCAGGGAAGGACGTGGAGCTCAGAGACTCTGGGCACCGGGCTGGCTTCTCCAATCCTGTCCTCAGAGAAAACAGTGATTGTCTCTGAATCATGCCCATTTGAATGTTGCGAGTGTGTTGGAAAGCCTGGATAATGGAGGCAGACATACTGATACGGTGCTAAAAACCAGACTTCAGAATCGAGGCTAGTGGTTTGACTGATTTGTTCACCCACCGTAAATATGATCCTAAAACAGAACCTTCCTCAGAGACCCTTGCATTTGGGAGACAGAAGGAGGGGGTGCTTCTCCAAGGCTGAGAGAAACTGGTTGGCCTCGTGAAAAGAGTTGGAATGGATAGTCCCAAACCAGGCTGGTGTGACCTCATCCTTATTTTCTTTGACAGAAACTACGTGTTGTCCTCAGGGTAGCTACCTAAGTTTGCATACTTCCTGGCTGACAGAACACTCCTGCCCGTGCCTTGGGGCCAGGGTGGTGAGTGTCAGTGGGAGGAGTAACCAAGTTTCACTTCCTTGCTGGTTGGAGACTCAGCTGCAGTGGGCTCCTTTCTCAGAGGAGGAGAGAGTGAGGAGTGGTAGGACCCATCTCTCTCTCTCTCTCTCTGCCTCTTCCCGTAGCACCTGGCAGGGGCTCAGCAGACCTGAGGAGCTCGAATGGGCAGAGCAGAATCTCTAGAAGGGAAGATGAGCACCCAGGATCCTTCAGATCTGTGGAGCAGATCAGATGGAGAAGCTGAGCTGCTTCAGGACTTGGGGTAAGAAAGCAGGTCTTCTTTTCTTGGTACTGCTTGGGTGAGCCCTGACCCCCAACTCCCACCCAAAGGCTCACCTTGGTTGATTTTCTTTAGCACCTTGCCATATCGGTCTTCTCTGCTTTCCGCCGCACTCATCTGAGCCCGTTAAGCATCTTTCTGCTAGGGGCCAATCGCATTTCAAAAGCGTATAGTATTTTCGCAAGGTGTGAGGACATCCAAGTGGAGAGAATGGGAAGAAAATTCAATGTTGGGTGTTCTTTTTAGCCTAGGGTCAGAATGGAGAGGTGTGAGTTGATGTTGTTTGGTTTCCTTGATATGGATCTGGTTTATGAATAAAAGTGCTGTTCAAATGTTTGGGGCTCTGAGCTGTTGACAGTAAGAGGGCTGTCTTGCCAGGAAGATAAACAGCCCAGCCTACCGCTAGGGAAGGGACTTTTTCAAAAGAGAAAGAATGAGGAAGTGTCTGCCCTGTTCCATCTGGGTTTCTCTCTCCTGACACCGCATTTATGAGCTCTTGTATGTATACATCTGTATGCACAACTTTGAGCCTTTTAAATCAGGCTCAGGAAGAGGATAAAATTTATGCCTCAAGCAGGTTATAAGTTTAAGTAGGTGGAGTCATCGTAGTCCTGTCTTTAAGAAGGGACCAGATGAGACAACCCATTGGGGTATTTTATAAAAGAAGCAAGTATTACAGAAGAGAGGTGTAGGGGGTTTCTAGAGAAACTGGACCTTTACCCTAAAGCATCAGAAATATCCTAACGAGGCCGGCTTTGACACCTGTGCTTCACAAGGGACAAGACCAGAGCCTCTTTGTAAACAGCACTATCTCTGCAGCAACCCATGGGCATAGAAACTGTCATCTCCATCTTACAAAGGAAGAAAATGGCACCACAGGGGTTGAAAAACTTGCCTACGTCACACATCAACAAATGGCAAAGCTGGGATGGCAAGCTGCAAACACCTGTGTTCTTTACCAGAGAAAAACTGAAACAGGGATGAAATCTCTGCATTAAGATGGCAGAGATTGTATCTTTTTGTGTGTTATAATTGTCAAAGTTCTCAGTAAAGTCGTATCTTCAGATTTTAAAATGGAAGTCTCGGAATTCAACTCTACCTTCACAACATAAATCAGATATAACAGCTAGAATTTTCTATAAAGTCAACTCCCCTTATTGGGAATTTGGAGTTTAGGATACCACTGTTCTTCCAGGCTGAAACTCCAAAAAGAAAGGGGCAAAATGCCCCTGAGCAGCCAAATGGGTGTCACCGAGTCTGGGCACTAAAGCTGGACTTTGGGGCTCTCACTTATAGCCTTATTAAATTATTAAAGTATAAGTCTTTACATGCTTCATTATCAATATTCCCAGCCCATGATCAGCAGGAAGCTCCAAAGGAGAAGATAAACAAAGGAGGTATTCAATTCTTGTTCTTTAATTAAGCCATCCTGAGCCCACATTCTATGCTCGAGTGACGTTGTCACCTCCTTGGATGACAAGGATGAGCTAGATGATGTCTCCTCTCTCCACCATATGCCCATAACAGGAAGTGACTGTGGGTAAAACCCACAAGGAAAACAGAATTCTGCCTTCACTCCGTGGTCAGAGAATGGACGTTCAGTAGAACCCAGAAACATCCCAAAAAGGTACATTTATGTCCAAACTTCTGGATTTCAGAAGGCCTGAAAATTTACTGAATATTTGAGAATGGTTTCCATAACAACAGAGAAGCTACAATTAAATTGGAAAATTACTCTACAGTGGAGGTTCTCACCTTAGCTGTGTACTAGTATCACACAAGAAGTTTTTATTTAAAAAATTCTTGTCCAGGGGCAGCTGGGTGGCTCAGTCTGTTAAGCGTCTGCCTTTGGCTCAGGTCATGATCTCCGGGTCCTGGGACCAAGCTCCACATCGAGCCCCACATTGGGCTCCTTGCTCAGCAGGGAGTCTGTTTCTCCCTCTCTCTCTGCCTTTCTCCCCAGCTCGTGCTCTCCTTTGTTCTCTCTCTCTCTCTCAAGTGAATAAATAACAATTATAAAAAGAAATTCCTGTCCAGGCCACATGCCAGACAAATGACATTAGTATCACGGGAGTGAGTGTTTCCTTTTTACACTCCCCAAGTGATTCCAGAGAGAGACCAAGTTTGCGAGTCGCTGCATAGGGTATAAATCCATCGGAAGTGCTGAAAAAAAATGAGGCTTTATTTTTCATTTATTGGGTATGTCCCTGAATCCTAAAACCATTAATAAATGTTGACATTTTATTTGTTGGTTTGGAAGCTTGCTTAACAATTTTATTGAGGTGTACTTTGCAGATAAAACTCTTTCAAGTGTATAAATCCACAATTTTTAGCGACTTTAAAGAGTGGTTCAAACATCACAAAAAATCAATTTTAGAACACTTTCACCCCCCTAATGAGAACCTTCAGGAGCATGGTTTTTTAAATATAATTTAAAAAAATATAATAAGTATATTTTAAAATATAATAGGGTATCAATAAACCACTTGGACAAGCGGCGATTTCTAGAGTCTGCCTATTTCCCTGGTATAAATACTTCTACCGTGGGCAATTTCAAGCTGCCAACAGTTTAACAACCTAACTGTATAATTCCTGAAAATTTAATAATGGACTTGAGTGAGTACTTGCCCCTTCAGGACGTCACTGATAGACCTTTTGCAAGTGATAATATCTGAGAAAACTTGAAAAGGACCAGTTGCCCCTGGCAGAATTCTGAATATAAATGAAGCTTTTTCTTTGAAACTTTAAGTCACTGGTTAAGTATGATCTGTACCAAAACTTCAACCAAATTCAGTTTTTAAAAAGTGCCATAAAAACAAAATGATTTCATGTAATTGATAAATAATAGGTGGCTGGTTTTAAAGATTTAATTTTTAAATTATTTTAAATATATTACTTGAATTGTTAGGTAGATTCTTATGTCGTATTTTGGGTAGATATAAACAGATGATGTGTTGGTTAGAGTGATATCATACATCCTCATTCTTGGGTCCCTATTTTTATTCAGGCTCTGGAATATGTGATTTTTGAAAATTAAACCCTGAGCTTCAGCAAATTAATCTGTCACTTGCCTTTCTAGGACACACATGGCTTACTCAGAGCATCGATTTATTCTTTTCTAAAGTACCTAAATCAGGCAGCTCAGATGCATTTCTGAGTCTCATTTTTAAAGCACCAATCTAAAAACACTTATTTTCTGGGGCACCTGGGTGGCTCAGTTGGCTAAGTATCTTCCTGTGCCTCAAGCCATGATCCCAGGGGATCCAGCCCCGCCCTGGGCTCCCTGCCTCTCTCTCCCCATCTGCCCCTCTGCATACTGGTGCTCTGTGCTTGTGTGTGTGCTCTCTCTCTCAAATAAATAAAATCTTAAAAATTTTTTTTAAATAAAAACATTTATGTTCTTTAATCCTAAATATATTAATGTGTCCAAAGCAAAGGAGAAATAACCCCATCTGTGATTGTCGCTCAGCTTTACTTACACTTTGGCGGGATGGGATTTGGGGAGGAGGTGGTCTGTGGGGAGAACAGGAGGGGCAAAGGGTGCTGAGAATGGTCTGTGATAAGGAAGAGGTCGGCTGGGAACAGTAAGGCTGTTTGTTGCTTTCAAAATGGAGCAATGAGGAAATGAAACAAATAGTGAATGCTAGAGAGGTGACCTCAATAAATAACTAGCTCTAAAATTGCTAGTTAGTTAATAATTTAAAGTTTCAGACAGTCTTTGATTATTATAACAAAGTTTGCTACAAGACAATGTATTCAATCAATCAGTAAGTCAGTAAGCAAGTCTCTAATTTCTCTACCACTGTACATATAAGAGAAGGTTAGACTAGATCAGGGGTCAGCAAGCTTTTTTTTAAAAAAAAAAAACAAAAAAAACAAAACTGATAATAAATTTTCCAGGCTTTGCAGGCTTTGTGATTTCGGCCACAGGTACTCACATCTGCCACTGACATGCAAAAACAGCCATAGATAACACAGAGACAAATGACCGTGACAATGCTCAGACAAAACGTTATTTGTGGACACTGAAATTTGAATTTCATATTATCTTCATGAGTCACAAAATATTCTTCTATTTTTTTTTCCTCCCACCATTTAAAAATGTAAGATCATTCCTGTCTCTGAGTCTATACAAACTTGTACCCTGGCAGGAAATACAAAAACCTGTACACTGGTGGGATTTGGCCCTCAGGTGGTGGTTTGCTGACTCAGGGAACAGAATCATAACGAAAATGAGTCCTAGTTAGGAGCCACATTTTGCATACACCAGCTGTGGTCTTCAGAAGGTACTAGCACTCCAACTTTATGTACAAGGAGACTCACTAGCAGCAAAATCACATTGCCTGAAGTCCCAGAAATTCTTGTGATAATTCATTATTTACTGACCACATACTATGTGCCAGCACCATGCCATTTCTGCCCATTATGTCACTTAGCTTTCCCAGTAATACTTTCAATGTGGTACGATTATACCCATTTCATAGAGACAGAGAGGGGGTTCAGACAAGTTTGGTGAACCGTGCAGGTCACAGAACTCAGTGGCGCAGCTGAGGAACACATCTCCTACAAGCCTACCCCAAAGTGATCCTCTTTCCACTGTCCTAAGAAGCTCTGTGTTCTAATAATGGCAACAGGGAATTATTGGATGTCATTATGTGCCAGGCACTGTTTTAAGCCTTTGTATGTAGGATTTATTAAATTTACACATCACTGTGGGATAAATACTATACCATCTCCATTTACAAACCAGAAAAGTGAAGGATAGAGTTTTAGCACATGTCCAAAGTTCCATGCTCAAAAACCTTTAAATCCAGGAGTTTGGCTCTGAAGCCCAGATGCATACCCACTAATGCAACTTGCTACTTTTCATCACACTTGTCTCCTCTTATTATATTAGCACTATTTGTTGGTGCTAGTAAGAACTGAGAGACAAAAAGAAAGTTCTGTGATTACTACAGCCAACAAATGTTATTATCAAAAGA